ATAAAACAAGTGCCTTTGCACCCAGGCAGGTTAAGGCGCAAGGGGTGCATCTAGAGTCGCCTTGAGACTAGATGCACAGCTAGGCACGACTTTACAATAATGCAGGCATATACAAAAATGACGCAAAAACACAACTTCAACTAAAGGTAGGTGACACAAAAAAGTAATTGTATGAGACCTCGAAGAGAAGTTGCCAATATAAATTTCATTGCATAAAGGTGACATCATCAATCTACTATGTCAACTGAATTTCTTTAATATCCAATCAAATCATAAAAGTTTTGATTTAGGACGAAATTTGAAACAAAATTTCTAAACATCATAAAAGTTTTTAGCTAAATTTAGGACGAAATTTGAAATGTATTTCAGTTTTGAATTTTCTACAAGCTATGAATCTACGATGTCTTAACTAGGATATGTAGTAAAGATCAGAGATTACAAGGATTCAAGGATCAAAATATCATTTCGAAACAGTCGAAACATCTTAAATGTTTCAATTTCTAAAGAGACCGAAACGAATCAATGATGGAATCGAAATTCCAATACATCGAAGTGTTTCATAATGTTTCAAAATGTTTTGTTATATTTCAATGCATTTGCACAATTATTTCGAAATGTTTCAAGGTATTTCAAGATATTTTGGTATACCTCGATCAATATTTTGAAAAAATAATTCTTAATTTTTTATTTTTTTTATTCTGTTTCCGAAACATGTTGAAACGTTTCCATTTCCTAAGTGACCAAGATAATGCACCGAAACGAAATATTGATCCTTGCAAGGGTTATTGATCAATTATACATACAAAGTCGAAAGAAAAAATATTACGCTCGAAGAAAGTGCAAGGAATATAAAAACTTCTCTGGCTGTTGATATTTATCAAAACTTGTTATAACATATTTGAAGAGTCAAAACCTATTACAAATTCTCACAATTCAATCGTCAATGCAGTAAACATCACAAGCCCCAATTTCTTATGAAAAGAGAAAAAGATATTTTGTATTTGGAAAAGCACGGATCATATTGTAGTTCTAATCTCCCATTTATTTCTAGCAATGGGATAAATCCCAGAGTAGAAAAGGTTATAATAACAAGCAAAAGTTGGAGAATGTTTCTAATAGTGTGGAAATAATAACAGACTTAGAAAATCCTCCACCCCCTCTTTTGGTACTTGGTGAGGAGGAGAAGATGCAGCCAGTTGTGACTTTCTCTAGGAGTATGGGATTTACCAGACCAAACTGTTTTTTTAGCATTAGGCTTAAAGTTTAGGTTACAAGCTACGGCAAAGTTCCAAAATATAAGATAAACGATAAGGGTACGGCTAATTAAAATAATATTATATACTTTTTATATAAATAACAACATTAATAATAAGACCTACCAAACAATGGGCATTTGGTTAAGAAAGGTTTTGGTTTGAAATAGAGCAAGTGGATTTTGGGATGCTTAAGGATAATAAATTTCTCTGTCATTATTAATGTTGCTTCACAAGGATGTTTTACAGGTACTAGAGGTCTTTGTCAAGTAGTTCCCCTATCCCCCTCCCTTTTCAATTTGGTGGAAGATGCTTTGAGCAGGATGAATAGGGCTAGTACTCTTGAGGAGATTAAAGGTTTTAAAATTGGTCGCGAAATGGTACCGACGACCCATTTACAATTTATCGATGATATCATTTACTTTTGTGAAGTGGATGAAAAAAACATTCATTTAGTTGCCTTAATCTTAAAAGGTTTCGAATTGGTGTCAAGCCTTAAAGCGAATTTAGCTACGAGTGCACTTGTTGGAATTAATATGCAACATGATAAATTGGTTTGAGTGGCGAATACTTTAGGGTGTTCTATTTCAAATTGGCCTAGGTCTTCCTTGAAGAGGTAATGCTAATGCCCTTACCTTTTGAGAGCCTATGATTCATAAGATTGGCAAAAACCTTGATGGGTGGAAATAAAATTTCTTATCAAGGGGGATAGAATTATTTTAATTCATTTCGTGCTTGAGAGCATTCCCATTATTACATGCCCTTCTTTAGGATGCCTTCGAAAGTAGTGAGAATAATTGAGAAGTTGATGAGTGATTTTCTACGTGAAGGAAAAGGTGAGGGCAAAAAAAATTATTTGGTTAATTGGGATAAGGTTTCTAGATCTAAAATTAAGGGAGGTCTTACATTGGGTAACCAAAAAGCTAGGAATATCTCTTTACTTGGTAAATGGCTTTGAAGATTTCCAATTGAACCTAATAATCTGTGGCATTCTGTGATTAAGAGCATATACGTGTTTCAAGCTAACGAGTGAGTTTCTAATGTGAGTGAAAGAGGTTGCTCTCGTGTCGGGGAGATTGCTCTGGTTGTTCAATCATTTAATAACCAGAGTCATTCTTTAATAAATGATTACTACGAATCGTGTCCTTCAAGTTCCACGTTGTTTTCTACCACATCGTTTCAAACGAATTTTACCATAACACATTCCTTTGCCAAATCAAGACAGAAAAAAGTGAACCTCCGCCCGTGAGCGGGCTTCCTTACTATTGGATCGCGAACCAATGGCGTATGCAACAACTAGAAATAAGGACTCTTTCTTCTTGGGATGACAAATGAAGAAAGCTCTTTAAGCCATTTATGCATTAAGGACAGTGGAACCAATGGAATTTATCCAATAGAATATTTCTTTGCATCAAAGGCTTGAAAAAGTGATTCAATCGATGAGATTTGATATGATACTTATGAGATCGAAAATAGGATGGTGTTCAAACTCCAGAAATGTAGGCTAGACAATGAGCCCTCCCTTTTCTAACTGCACCAACTCTGGGAAGGGTCAATCTCCTATGGAGCCAGTTTCATATCCACTCATTCTAGTAGCTTTAACTATAACATCAGCTCTATTTATTGGGTTGAGCAGGATATTTTCTCTAGTTCAATATTACCGCTTACCCTAGTGAGACTGCTATGAAAAACACAGTTAAATTTCAAAGTAGCAAGATCTAATTTAAAATTTTCACCTAATTGAGCACGTTTAGTACATTTTTCCAGTACCATGATCACTATAACTGACTATATTAAGTTCTACGGTATTCATTGATCAAATCATTCACTTTTTTGAAGAACTGATTAATTGGATGGGAATAAAGATAGTCTCATTCCACATGTCAGTACCGACAACAATATGATTGAACTTGAGAAGCTTCTGGCCCAGCGGGTCAATAAAACTCACTAGAATAGATAGTATTATTGAACCAGACAAAACAACAACCAATGAAACCAAAGATAGATATAACCCCTAAACTATAAGATAAGTATCACTCACCTAGATAATATTTTTTCTTGTTCACTAATAAATGGGATGTCTTATGTTCATCCCATCTAAAACCCTTGAATTAGTGAAATCCATGGACAGAGACCTAGCCACTACTTGGTGGGACATTTCCTCCGAGGCTGCCCTTTTATACCTATCGTTCAAGAGTTCGCTCGCAAGAACTAGTGTACCAAGTGAGATCTTCCAATTACTCTATTAGATCCAAGGCACGTCTTTATCAAGCTCTAGACCAAAGAAGATGTGCACAAAAAAAGATAAGTTAAATTCCTAACAGTCTTTTTCAATTGTCTTAGTTTCAACGAGAAAAAAAGAAATATAGTCCCGAGGAGCGTAAAGTTGTCCAACTCTCCCATCTTTCCTTTGCTTGGATTTCACTACTATGTCATCAACCTCCAATTCCTCGTGCATCGTATCATGAAAAATCACAGTCTTAGCACATTTATAAGTAGGACCAGCATTCTTTAAACCAAAAGGCATCACATTGTAATATAAGTTACCTATTGGAGTTTTGTAGGTCGTCTTTTCCACATCCACAAGGTTTATCTTGATTTGGTATATAAAATACACAAAAAGATTCGGTGGGGTGAGAGTGGACCTTTGAATTCATCTCTCAAAAGAGTTGGCGACCCTTAGACGAGAGGTCTTTTCCCACGTGGAAACATGAAAAAGTTTGTCAATGACATCAATCTGTCAAGTGATTTTTCTCAAATCTCCGAATTGAAGTAAAGGATTGCAAAAATTTTGCCACAACCCTCAAAAAACATAAAATCATTCGACCTCCAGCATGTTATTACTATTCTTTCTACATCATAAGGATCACCATTGTATAACCATTCATCAACGGATGTCACTTCCCAAATTGGGTAAAAGTGCAAATCGATAGTTGCAGAAGTAGGAATAACGACGCCTGAGATAATATTGTTCTCAGAAAGTAGAGATCTAAAAATAGGTTCACAAATACCATCAATATCTACCAGAGGTGTAGCGATGAAGGCGATAATAAATACAGAAGTTGCGGTCAATAAGGTAGGGATCATCAAAACACCAAATCATCCAATGTACAGATGGTTTTCGATGATGCTTATCAAGTTACAAATGCAACCCCCTAGGCTTTTGCTTACACGTCTCTCCAAAATTGTAGTCATTGTACTTCCATAAAGTCAATCCAAATGGCTTATTGATCACAAAGTTACGCAACAAAAACTTCCAATAACAAGGACCCACAGACATCTTCTCAATATCATTGACCCTCACGTCACAATTTTGGCTAGACCGCTCAAGTTACACGACCTTAGAGATGAAGGTTGATCCACAACATACAGCTCTTACAGCCAAATCATCAAGATTCAGTGTTTCATAGAAATAAGATTAAAGATGCTAGAACAAATGGACAAGGCATATAAATTTGCACAAGCACATATAGAGCTAATGATGACGAAACCACTTTCTCCATAAATAAATTGATTTAAAAACATAAGAAATTGGGTTTCAACCAATGTAAACCATACAAAGATCAATGAATTTGGTTTTCCCATAAAATATACAAACCCAATCACCACCTCTCACATAAAAATTTCACATACAAGATTCATACACAAAAGTCAGTTGTCTATGCTACCAATCCAATGTTCACACACAGACATAGTGTTCACTCATATTTTACATTAAATTTAATAGTTCAATCCAATGTCCATGTGTCAATGTACACAAAAACATAGTGCAACATCTATATAAAAAAGTGCGATAAAAACAAAGACACTAACCAGCGGATGAATAGACCTTGTCCCATCCTCACTCCTTTGTAACCAAACATGTTCAAACGGCTGGTTTGAATTATTTACGATTATCTTATACTCGTCCTGCGGCCTCGTTATTGTTGGTATATGAAATGGCACTTTCGGCTTGTTCCCCCCGGTACCCACCTTCTTATCCCTCGAGACCACCTTCACCGTACTCCCCTCTTCAGCCCCACCCCTCCCCACCACTTCACCCACACCCAGCCCTTTATTCCTCTTCTTCTTCCCATACACCAACTGAAACCCATTTTCCGAAGCAATCTCACTCATTACTCGAACCTCACTTTCCTCTTCTTTCTTCCTCAAATTCCGGAATTCATCCACGGAAACGTTAAACCTCTCATATAGCTCATCATTCACATTAACCAACCAATCATATTCCTCGTCTATATCTTCCGGAAAACCCATTTCTCTTCCCCATAACCGCGCAGATGCCCCGACGGAATCTAACAAAAAACTCGAATTTCCATTGATTAGTTTGATGGGGGATTTGAATTCATCGAAGTTGTAGTAGAAGTGAAAGTCTTGGTTTGAAGGTATGCCTCTGGAAGAGCCTGACAGTTTTGATATGAAAGAGGTTAACGGACCTGTGGTGAGGTTTTGTAACGTATTGGATTTTGGGTTTGGGGATTCGTCTTCTTGAGATGGATCAATTTCCATGTCCTTGTGGCGGCTCATGTTAAATGGATATTAGCTTATTGATTTCTGGAGTTTGGATTCTAAGCCATTGGAGTGCAAGAGGTTTGCAAATTGACTATGAGGGTTCAGGGTTAGGGTTTTAGTCTGCGTTTGAAAGAGGACTCGGAGAGTTTCTGTGTGAGCGCTTTTAAGTTTCAGCGTGCGCAAGGTTGANAAGGACTCGGAGAGTGTTTCTGTGTGAGCGCTTTTAAGTTTCAGCGTGCGCAAGGTTGAGAGGTAAAAATAANGAGGACTCGGAGAGTTTCTGTGTGAGCGCTTTTAAGTTTCAGCGTGCGCAAGGTTGAGAGGTAAAAATAAAGGGCAAATCTCACTTTGCACCTAAAAAGATACATATTCTTTTATTTTGTACCCTAAAAGATTAATCATCTTACATTACATACTCAATTTGACATGCTTGTTGCAATGTGCACCTGTCATCAAATTTCGTTTCTATTTATGTCAACACTCACCCACATGTAAGATGCACATGTTCTTCTCTGGACAAAATTGTGACGTCTCAAAATTTAGGACTCTTTTCTCAACTCGTTGATCACCTATCAACTTACGAAAGTATCTGTTAATATCGCAAAACCTGACATCACGTTATTATACGACCATTTCAAGGTCCAATACCCATCAATTTGTCATTAATATTAGTCTATTTACATCTTTTAAACAAAAGGGCTCAAGACTCGAAAGACTTGGCAAAGTAATTTTAAATTTTTAAAAATTTTAAAATTTTAGCAAAGTTATTTCAAAAATGACACAATAGGGTATCTCCTAAAGAGACTACCTCCCAACCAGATGCATATGAAATGTTCATATGTCATTCAACAATCAAACAAGCATTCATCTAAGAACTTACAACTTCAAGAAATGAATGTTACAATGTTATGTCATGTTATGAGGTAAGACTCACACATGCAATGTAACTCAAGTCTTCACCGACTTCCATAACTCATACAATGTCATGCATATGTATCGAGGCATTTCAATCCTCCGTCATTGATATTACACATCCAATGACTATTTTATTAAATAAACCATATGTCTTTGTTGGGTAGGTGATTTCCTAGACTCGCACCATCGATCAACCACACTGACACGGATTTTGATATCCCACATCCGATTCTGCTCACATTGATATACTTTTTTGGACTTTTACCATCGAAAGTGTATAAACCAGTAACCAAGTCTTACACCTGAAGGAAAGTCTAGTCCTTCTTGTTATACCCAACACAAGTTTTTTATGCAAGTTTTCCATTGCATCTCTATTCATGCTACCCATTTTAAACGCAAATCTTAGGTTAAAAATAAACCTATTTAGGAGAAGATCATTACCTCTTGAAGCATAATACGTGTGGTAGAAATTCTAAATCACCCAAATTAATCTTCAAACCTTGATTTTCAAAAATCTTGAGCTTAAGACTTTGGTGAAACCTGCGATTTTTGGTAAAACAATTCAACGAAAGGTTTGCCCTAGATCGCAAGGAGAAGATGGAAGAAACCCTTATTTTCTTTCTCTTCTTCTCTCTCTTCTTCTCTCTCTATCCAAAAATCAGCAACCAAAATGAGAAAACAACCTGAATCTCACTATGTGTTATATTCGAAATAATTTGTTTGAACTAACTATAATTTAATAAGAGTTGGTAATTATGAGGCATATGCGTTAATGAGAGAAACTAAAGGACATTTAAGTGTAATTTGGTCAAAATTTGGGTTAAGGTAAAATCATATAAATGGGAGATGTTTTGAGTATTAGTTTATAAATATTTAAAATCAAGAGGGATGTGTGTGAGGGAAAGAGGTGTAAGCAGACACAAGTGGATTTTGGAAAAAAGAATGAGTCAAAAGAGATGGGTGTCTCTTATAGATCACACCCTCTATATGTATGATATATATATATGGGTGTGTGTGTGTGTGTGTGTTTAAATATGAGCTTCGGAAAGAATGAGACATAGAGATATAGATAGAGAAAAAGAGTGACGAGAAAGAGAGAAGAGTGGGGGTTGAGAGGAAAGATAACCTAGTAGATGAGCTTCGATCTTTTGGTTCGAAATCGGTGTGGAACGAACCAATTTCCTTGGTTTCTTTGATTTTGTATTGGCTTTGCTGAGAATTGGAAAAGAGTAACACTTCTTGGTAAGAAATTCCATTAATAATTCTTTATATTTGGTTGTTTAAAAACATAGGGAAAATGTTGGGTTTGGGTGTATAAAAATCTTGGTTATAGTTATGGTTTTGATCTTGGATAATAGCACTAGTTTGTTCAGTCAAAAAAACCATTTTCTAAATATTTTGATTTCTCTTAAGAGTCCACAAGTCCTTTAGGAACTTGGCATGAGAATTGATCTATTTTATGGCATCTAGAAGTGGTATATTGATTTTTATTTGCTTGAAAAGCTTGTAAATATTAGCATAATTGCTCAACTTCTGGGATTTCTTGAATCTCTAAGGGAAGAGAGTAGGAATAGGACATGGAGGCTTCTCAACCTCTGTGGGTTCAGTCTCATCAAGGGAGATTTGAATAGGCTTAACCACGGGTGTAGCAATAGACTCAATAAATGCTTGTGGTGAGTCTTTGCCAATTATTTTACCACTCTTTAGAGTGCTGACGTCTTGGACATATTCATGAGAAAGGTCCATGGAAGCAGAATTGCCTATGTGAAATTGACCCTAAGGAGGTTTTGGTTGGGTGGGGTATTTGCCATTTTCTAGGTTGGCCATCAACTAGGTTAGTTTATGCATATGGCCTTTTAGATCATCTAGACTATGTAATGTAGGCTTTGAATTCTTTTAATTCATTGTAGCCTTGTGAATTCTGATTATTATATTACATTTAGGCTTGCATGAATTAATTCCGTGTATCCTCTAGGCTAGGTTTGTGGGGTGGCAAGTAAGGTGAATATTACTATGGTTATAGTGGTGGTGGTAGTGGTTGGGCTGGCTGCTGTTGTGTAATTTGGGTTTTGTTTCCACCCTAGATTATATGTCTCAAAGTAAGGGTTATTATATGGTTTTTGGAAAGAGGAGACGACATTGGAGTTTTCCAATAACACCTCCTAAATAATAGGAGTTGTGGGACACTCCTCAGTAGAATGCCCCCACCAAAGCATATATTCCACACATACGTTTGGTGGGAGACACAAAAGACACACTCATTCACTTTCTTCATCTCTAAAGCCTCTAGCTTTTGAGACAAAGAAATCATCTTTGCCCTTAGATCATCCTTATCTCTCAATAAATACTTCCCCCCCAAGGAAGTAGTTGCTCTGGTCTCTAAACTAACAGGTGAAGTCGAGTCCCATATCTGGGAACTCTCATATAATGTGTCAAAAAATTCGAAAGCCTCGNGACTTTCTTCATCTCTAAAGCCTCTAGCTTTTGAGACAAAGAAATCATCTTTGCCCTTAGATCGTCCTTATCTCTCAATAAATACTTCCCCCCCAAGGAAGTAGTTGCTCTGGTCTCTAAACTAACAGGTGAGGTCGAGTCCCATATCTGGGAACTCTCATATAATGTGTCAAAAAATTCGAAAGCCTCGTTAGGATTTTTATTCATGAACTTTTCCTGTGACATCATCTTAATGAACTGATGCATAGAGAGAGATAGTTATAGAAAAAAACCTACCAGGGTCCAACTCTCAAACCCATGATGCGAACATGTGAGAAAGAGATCTTTGAATTTCTCCCAACACTAGTAGAAAGTCTCCCTATCCTTCACAAAAAAGTTCATGATCTAACGTTTTAGAGCATTAGTGTGATGGATGGGGAAGAAATTTTTGAAAAATTCTTATTGTCGTGCTGACTAATCAGGGATAGAATGTGGTTTTAAAATGTTAAGTCGTTGCTTGGCTTTATTCTTCAAGAAGAAAGGAAAAATATTTAGCTTGGTGAACTTGGAATTCTCCTAAAAGGTCCCATAAAACTCCTTGAATTCCTTCATGCGTAGATAAGGATTTTCGGAATCGAGGCCATGAAATTGCAATAAAAGCTAGATTGTACCAGGTTTCATTGTGAACCGCTGGGCATTGACAGGAAAAACAAAACATGGTGGGATACTGCTCCTTATGGGGTGCAAATAATCACTAATAGTTCGAACCTGTTGGTCGACCTCTTGAACACGGTTAGGGTTATTTTGATTTGGGTTATTCACATTGTCTCACATGTTACTACCTATTTGACTTAGATTAAAAGTGGGGGCAAAGACTAACTGATTAGACTCTAAAGATGAAGATGAACCTACGAATCTTACATATTCTTTACATGGTGACTCAATATTAGAATTTGAGTTTTCACCATCAGACATACCACTATAAACTAGATGAAGACTGTGACTTAAAACAACTAGCAATTAAATGGCAAAGATTAACAAAATTTATAAAACTTAAACAAAACAAACATAATTAACAAAAATCTAAAAGATGGAACAAGGTTACTTGAAAAAGTTGAGTTCTCCAAATAGCTCATTGTGATGGAGGATTCTTCTTTTTGGCTTCTGTATCCTTTCAAGTTCTCTGGCAATTGTAGTAATACTTGGTAAGATCAAGGTAAATCCTTAGGGAAATTGATTTGGAATTAGGAAGGTAAAAAAAAAAAAACGATTAAAAAGAATTTGAGTGTTAGTAATTTGAATAGATTTAAAGGAAATTGCTACGAAAGAAAGCTATTCTCTAGATTCGGGATCAGGTATCATTCACGTAAATCAAATATCATACTTATGCAATTATAATTACTTTATCTAAGTTAATTTCCAATGTCAGTGTAATTAATCAAAAAATATAGCTTTGAAAACCAAAGGTTAATTGAAAAGAAAATAAGAATTTTAAGAACTAGTATTATAAATTCACAGGGAATTATAAGTATTAATCATACCAAGAACTCAATCTTGTTAATAATTAATCAAATAAGTTTACAGAGTATATTACTTTAATAAAATCATTTATTCAATCGAAGAATATTTGAAAAGATAAATCATTCAAGAACAAGGAAATTATAATTGCATTCATAAAATATTCAAGATATATTCATGAAAACCATACCCACACTAGAGAATAGTAAGAGGATAACTTACTAGCCACGAGAAAGAA